ATCAATACTCGTGGCCCTTTTAGCCATACAAGGACATGTGCAGAGCCGTGACAAAATTGGACTCCACCTGACATGTTCCAGGTGGGATGATGCTCTGACTTCGTGTTTCAGCTCTTGTCCTGGAAACCAGGGTCCTTTCTGCAGTCTGTCAGTACTATGTTCTGAGCATCCTGGTGCCTCCCCCCCCACGCGCCCCCATGATTTCGCCATTTAAAATGGCTCCCAAGCCAGTGCCTGAGCGCTGTCTGTGGTCGGGAGCACAGAAGCTGTGATGTGCCTTCTGGAGAAAACAGGTGTGTGAGATAAGCTGCATCCAGATCATGAGATCCAGAGCTCTAGGCCATGAGTGCGGTGCTAATGAATCAACAATATGTGTTGAATAAGGTGCCTTTAAACAGAAACACACACAACGAGGTTATGTATTGATGGTTTGATGAAAATATGGCCCGAGGCTCCCAGACCCTAACCTTTCATTTCCCCTAGGAGCAATGATACGGCATTCCCTAATTCAATGTTCGTGGCGACTTTATAGCACATAATTACCATGAATAATGAGAATTTGGGTGTGTGTGTGTGTGTGTGTGTGTGTGCGTGCACACACTTGCGCACTTGTTTGCTTCTGAGCAACAGTAAGCCCCTGCCAAGTATTTCTGTTGCTCAATATTACAAGTTATTATATTTAACAAGATAATTCAGAGTTGCAGCAAGAGTTTAGTAAAATCCAAGCCTAGATAGGTAGACTCTGGAAGCTCTCTTATTCATCCTATCTGATGGCAATCCTTTTCCAATTTAACCATTTCCATTAGCCATTTGAGCAAAAGGCGTTTTTCTATTCATCCTGAAGGAGCTTCCATTCGCACTTGAATTCACAACATCTCACCAACTTGGTTTAGATACCAATGTACAGCTAATGAAACTTGGTGTCCCAGTGTCGCTGAGTGTGACCTCGGTATGGATTATAGGAAGATTTTACACTGGAGATTATTTTGCTTTCTTCGCTATGATTCTGACACCAATTTAGATGTGTTTTTTCTGACACCATCAAGCAATTCTCTGTGACACCAGGTTGTCCTAGAATCTCAATTCTGACACTATCTGCGTCTATCTGAGGTCTCATCAGACGCTACAGACTGAGGGCTCAGTCCCACAAGACTGTTCCCACTTGAGATGCCAGCCACAAGTCCAGGTTTGTCCCTGTGCTTTGACTGTTGGGTTATAAATCAGAGGTTCCCATAATCCTCTCCTCGGGTTCGATGAATTTCCTAGGGCAGCTCACATGACTCAAGAAACTGGGTTATTCACTGGATTGCTGGTTTATTACAAAGGATATTAAAGGATATGAATTAACAGCCAGGTGAAGAGATCCATAGGGCGAGGTTCCCAAATGCAGGAAATTCTGTCCCCCTGGAGTTTTTTGGGCCAGCAGCCTGTCAAGTGTTCTGGTTCACCAATCTGGAAGCTCTCCTACACCCTTCTTTTTTGGGGTTTCACGGAGGCTTCATTATATAGGCAAAATTGATTCAATCATTGGCCATTGGCCACAGAACTCAACCTCAGGGCCGTTCTAATCTCCGGAGGTCAGAGGGTGGAGCTGAAGTTTCCAACCCTGGCAACCAGCGCTCAGCCTTAGGTGACTTAGGGGCTTTCCAAAACGTACCTCATTTAACATAACAAAAGACACCTCGATCACCGCCTCACTTAGGAAATTCCAAGGGTCTTAGGAGATCTGTGTCTGGAACAGGGACGGAGACAAAAGTCTACTTTTTTTTCTTATGAATTGCAATCACATTCATGATGACTGTGTTTGGTAGACTGACGTGATGTTTGCTATGGAGGGAGAGATGGTACATAGGCTTAAGGGTGCTCTGGGACCCGCTTCGTGGGCAGGGAGGGAAATAGGGCGCAGTGACTGCCCTTGCTGAAGCAGCTGATGACCAAGCTGGGCCGGGCCCCCCACTGCAGCCTCGGGCAGCAGCCCAGTGCACCATGCCTCCACCACCCTGCCTCTCACGTCTGGGGGTCCTGCCCTCAGCCCTGTCCCCTAGGCCACGTCAGACCTCTCTGGCCTGTTTCTGAGAAATGTGCTGAGAACACACAAAGGCCCCGTCAGGCCTTCACCGGGTTAGACTTGATTTCCCTGGGGGGCTCCGCAGCCTTCCTGGACTGTGAAATCTCTGCCTCCCCAGGGGCGGACCATGCCGGAAGGAGTCTTTGGGTGCCCCTGGGCCTCCGACTCCTCCCCGTGGGTTCTGGGGGAACTCGCTGGCCAGCCGAGCGAGAGGAAGCACTGAGGCTGAAGGAGCGAGGCGGCTGGCTGCCATCCCACATAAACACGCTCCGTCACTGTAAATTATTTACGCACCATATGGAGGCCGGACAGGCTCCTTGACAGGGTGTGTTAATTAGAAGGCTGTGGATCCTGCCTTGGCCCAGATTCCTGGGGGCCGGGGGTGAGAGGTACAGAGGAGTGGAGGTGGGGCGGGGGGCTGTTTCCTTTTGCTCAGCATCTCCCTGATTAGAAACTTCAGTGATTCTGGCTTTTCCAGCAACAAGTCTGAACACTGTACTCGGCGTTCAAGGCCTCTTTCAGGCCGGAGCTCCCACACTTGCCCTCTGCTTCTGGCAAGACAACTTTTCACCGTTCTCTGTAACTGGCTGAACCATTCCCACCGCTAGACCTTGCATCACGTGCCCCCTCGCCCGCCCGGAAACCCTTCCTTTCTCAGCATCCTTTAAATGACAGATCCTTTAAAGGTCACGTCCTCTGCACGGCCTTCCCACTCACCCCCTGGGGGACAAGCTTTTTCCTCCTTGTGCCCTCAGTAGAGCTCACACGTTACAAGTGCGGCCTCTGGTCTGAATCAAGACACCAGCTGCATCCCTTGCTGAGGGACCTTGGTTCCTTAAGTAGAACCTAGAACCTAGGGTGTCTCCCTAAATCTCTGGGGTAGGGAGGATGGAGTATATGCTAGCTTTACATGGTACTTGGCACCCACAAATCCCACCACAGACACTCGCCCTTCTTCATCAGTATTAATGTAGAATTACTTCCCTCTGCTGTAATCACTGCTTTGGTAAGCCTCACTCTTTCTAGACTCTGACCCATTGGAGTGCTGGCGCTTGGTCTTACTCCTCACTAAACCTTCTGCTTCGAGCCCCGTGCCCGGTGCTTCATAGGTATCACATACGGACTGTAAATTCAGTAGCAGTATACACGTGTGATGGGCAACATTTACTCAGTGCTTACTCTTTGCCAGGCTGTGTCCTCAGCCCTTTACAGGCGTGAACTATTTACGCTGGTGGTCTTACGTGAGGAGCTGTGATCGGTACTCTCACTGGACAGATGAGGAAACTGAGCATGGACAAATGCCTTGTGCAAGGTGACCTATGAGTCCTGGAGTTGAGATTCAACCCCAGAGAGGTTCGAAACTCAGTTGTTCCATTGCGTCTCCTCGTTCGAGAATAGCAGTGCAGCCTGGGTGTTGGGTGGTCGGCGCCTGGCCCACAGCGGGTGTTTAGTGGATGGTGAGTAAGGGTTTGGGGCCTTGGTATGTTGACTGCCCAGGCTAAAGGCAGGCAAGTCACACAGATCAGCTACTAAAAAAGGGTGAAAGTTCCTACTTGTTAAACTCATCTCTAGAAAAAAAAATTTTTTTTTTTTTTCCTAGAATCTCCAGTCCCGCGTATCTTTTTTTTCCAGCTGGCCGGCTCTAGACTCGGCTCTTGGCTTTCCAGACAGGAGGAGCAGCCTGTGTTTCCCAGACCGGCTCTGGGTCACTTCCTCATTGCCATCTTTTCTTCAGGCTGCTGTATCTCTTCCCTCTGTCTAGAACATTCCTTCTCCCTCTCTTCTGCGCCCTCCCCCCTGCCACTGTGATCCTATCTGGAAAACTCCTCCCATCCTTCAAGGTCCAGTTCACGCCTACTGTCCCCTGGGAACTCTTGCCCAACTGTCATCCTCGATCTTTGGTTCTCCCAAACCGAACACACGTCTAAATTATATACAGCCAACAAAGTGGTGACTGGCGTGGGCTTTAGCTCCAGACACCTGGCTTTCTGTCTGGCTCTGCCACCCTGTGCAAGTCTCCCTGCCAGGGCCTTAGTTTCCCCATTGGTGAAATGGTGCAGTCATAGCCCCTACCTTGCAGGGCTTTGCGAGGTGTGCGTGGAAGAACGCATAGTCATGAGATGTGGACACAGTACGTGCCCCTGTACTTTTATTCTTCTAGAAGCGGTCCTCCGTGCATCTTTCTGTCTCCAGTGCTCACAATAGTGCCTGGCACACAGCAGGTGCTCACTAAATGAAAATGCAATTTGAGTTCAACAAAGTAAGCATTTATTGGGCGCCCACCATGTACCAAGTGCAAGATATGCAAAGATGGGTGGTGGCTAGAGGTCAGGGTGCATATACACAAACACAGCCAGCGAGAGACTTGGAACGAAGACCGATGCAGCCCTTCCATTGGTTCATTTGGTCATCAGGGCATTTGTTTTTCCAGGCTCTGGGGAGACAGAGATGAATGAAATGCACTCCCGGTCCTCAAAGAGACGTGACCCGGTACATAAAACATACAACTGGGCAGATGATTGCTGTCCTAGAGTGTGCCTCGGGGCTCTGAGGACAGAGCCGCTGGATTGCGGGTCACTGTGTAAGGGATGGGGGAGGGGAAGCTGGAGAGATGAGCAGTGCCTTTGCCCCTGCTGGTTCTTTTGCCCGGGACACCTATTCTCTCATCCTTCCTGTCTCCGATGGTGTGTCCTCTCCTCCGGCAGCCCCTTTGGGAAGCTGCTTCCTCCTCGCTCTATCACTGCACCCTGTTCATTTCTTCTCAAGCACTGACCATGGTCCCTAGTGAATGAAAGGTGGGCAAGGAAAAGGAACTAGCAATTTTTGGAATACCAACTATGTGCCAGACACAGTGCTCTTTAACTGAGGAACACTATTTAATTAATTTCCCCAACGTTCCAGGGGTGATGGTATTTTTATCCTCATTTTGCAGACTACGAAAGGGGCTCTGAGAAGGCAAATGCCTTTGCCCAAGGTCACCGGCCGGATGTAGTGGAATCCAGGACCAGCTGCCTCCCCACACCCATGGTGCTTTTATGGCACCGGGAGAGGCCAAGTGCAAGAAAGGAAATGGAATGACTCGTTTACTGCTTCAGGCACTTTCAGCAACAAGTAAGTGATTTCCCTAATTCCCAGTCCGCTGTTAATACAGAAACTTGGCCGCTGGGAACCAGGCTGCAGAAAAACAGGTTTCCTTCTTAACTCAGCAGCACCACCTGCAGGATATGAGGGAACACTGCAGAAATGAGCAGGAGCAGGATCTCTGCGGGAGGGGATCCTGAAAAAGGGACCTGAGACAGTATCTCATGCCCTTATTAAAAAGGGGCACACTGAGACTGAGAAAGGAACTTACTCAAAGTCACAATGTCAGCGATGGCAGATGGGAAGCTGTATCTCTTCTGGTTCCCAGTTCAGTACCCTCTCCCCACCCACTCCTTCCTTCTCTCCCCACCCACTCCTTCCTTCTCTCCCCCTCCCTCATTCAAAAAGCATTAACTTAGCACCTACTATGCCTTGGGCATATTTCTTCTTGTGGGTTATAAATATTGATGGCTAAAATTTGCCTTCTGGAATTATTGTTGTATTGATTAATCGCCATTAACCACATACCTCATCATTACAACTAAGATGTATTGACCATTACTATGTATCAGGCACTATGCTAAGGCATGATCTCAACTGATCCTCACAGGTGAGGAAATTAAGGCTTAGGGAGGTTTGGGAACATGCCTGACATGGTTTAGTAAGTTGTGGAGCTGGGATTCAAACCCAGATCCTTCTGACCCCGGAGCTAGTGATCTTCACCACTCTGTTCTGTTTATTCTTTAAAGTATCAAGGTCAGTTCAAAGAGTATCCATACTCTAATTAGGATTTTGCTCCCATTTCAAATAATTACCTTTTTTTTTTTTTTTTCCTAAGAGTGGTGCTGACTCTCTTTTCGAATTCGTTGCTTCTTAAATCCCTGGGAGTTTATATTAAGGTTCTGCTCTGTACCAGGCACTGTTGTAGGGGCCCGGGACACAGAAGCAACTGTAACTCCGCTAAGAGCTCATGGCTTTGTAGGTTTCAGCCTCGATACAAGGCAACTGGCAAGCTTTGTTCTAATAGTAACACTGCACCGCTCCAGGGGGCACCATTCACACTTCAACTGGTGGAAAATGGCACCTTTTGAGTTGCACAGTGCACTGCCTGTGTGGCCGTATATGGCCCTGACCTAGTGAGATGAGAACGGGCGGCCGGGACAATCACTTCCGCCTCTGCAGAGTGGGGAAGCTTCCCAGGAAAGGGCACTGGCATGTGAATGTGTACAGACTTCGAGTTCCTGTCCTCTTCAACTGGGAGGTAGTATCAAGGTTTGGGGAAATAGATCTCTGCGTTTCAACTAGCAGAGCAGAACATGTATTTCAGTTTCCATTTCTTCATTAGCTACCAAGTTGCATTTCGTTTTAAGTTGCCAGGAATTTTGCCCTTGTTCTAATTTTCGGCTGGATGGGATAGTTCCTCTCTTTTGGGTGGTTGGTTCCCGAAATTGGAGCTCACCAGCTGCAGGTGACATGTGTAAACCAGAAGATCAAATGTGGGCAATGTGACAACCATTTGGGGAAATCTCTGCCCAACCGGAAGGGAATGAACTCACTGCAGGCCCTGAGAATGGAGTGCTCATTTCACAGAAAACAGCACTCTCCTCTCTCCCCCTGATCCCTAGCACCCTCACCATCTAAGAGTACTTTGCCTTTTGTGCACATCTTACTTTAACATATAGTATGAAAACCAAAGGTGTTTTTTTTTTCATTTTCTAAATAGAAAATGACTATGCTTTTCCCCAACGCCCCTCCTGAAGATGTTAATTCAGACCTCACTACGGAGAACATGGTAGGGGGTGAGAAGTGCAGGATTGGGTCAGCACCAAGGGCACAAAGGTGTAAGGGACAAAAAAAAAAAAAAAGAAAAAGATGTGCTTTCAGCCCTCCAGAAGCTCCTGGTCCTGTTGTTGCTGGCCCTGCAACCACAGGAAAAACACTGTGGGAAAAGGACAGGGTGGTGAAGGAGGAGAACCTCCTCACCAGACGGAAGGCAAGGAGCAGCACCCCCCCGCCCCACCCCAAACCTCCCCTTAATGGCAGAACAAGGAGAAATATCAGCTAGTGTGGCAGAGGGAGGAGATGAGGGAGAGCTCTCTCTTCTGTTCCGCCCTGGAGGGAGAAAGATGCTGATCAGCTTCTGGATTTCTCATTAATTCGGAGTAGGAAGATTCCTTTCTTTCCCATGTTGTGGGCTAAATAGGCACTCGATAGCCGGTCTGGGAACATAATCAGCCAAGATAACCTTGTTCCTGTGGGAAAATGAATTCTATAGTCCACGCAACTGTCTTAGCTAGCAATCATCTATTGGAACACATCCCTTCCGTCGAGTTGAAGGGTCTCTGCTGTTCGTCATTATAAAGTTTCATGTTGTGAAAAGAACTATGAATTCAGATGATTGGGTTCTCAGCTGCCCCATGCCAGATGGGTTGTGCTCTTGGTCAAGTCACCTCATTTTCTTCTTTGGGGTCTTGCCTGTAGAATGAGGGCTTGGACCAGATGAATTCCCATGCTCTTTTGGGATCTGAGTCTTTGGGATTTTGAGTCTCTTCATTATGTTACTCCCACTTCTAGCATGTTATTTCATTTCTCACTGAATAGAAGGCTTCTTTGGCCCAGGGCTTATTGGCTCCAGATCCATTTGTCACTCCTGTGTCTGTTGGTTTCTGGCTTGGTCCAGCCAATGGGGGGCAGTGGACCATGACTGAGGGGAGTCAGGAAAGGAGAAACCAGTGTATTTCTCCTCCCCTCTGCCTTCAGAGGTTGCATTTCTTCCTTGACTCTGGATCCCACCAGCGTTATAGGGTGACCTCAGGACTTGGTTTCCTATGACCCTGCCTCCTCCTCTGTCCCTCCAGCTAAGGGGCAGGAGTGGCTTCCTGCTGTTCTTAATTTCTGGGTTGCCTCATTGTTTCCCGGAGGGTTTTCAACCCAGTGTCACCTGTGTAACCCATTCCCCACATTAATTTCCTCTTGTTCCAAATACGTAGAGTGGTTGCTGTTTTCCTCGGCTGGACTTGGACTGAGACATTCCAACTTTTGTTGGTTTTACCTTATAACAGCCAGCAATAAAGATGATAATGATAATGTTGATGATTATAAACCCTTACTTGGTATATAACCTCACATATTACAAAGCTTTTACTCGGGTTCTATAATTTGAGTCTCATAATAACAGTGTGATGTAAGAAAGGCATTTATCATTAATTCCATTTTACAGAAGAGGAAATGATCTCACTGAGTAACACAGCCGGTAGGTCTTGGGACAGCTGAAACGAAAACCCAAGGCTTTGGTGTCTCATCTAGCTCCCCCCTCCCCAAAATTGTCCTACTTTTCATCATTATCCCACCTACCCCATTGGAATGGTGTCTTAATGCTGCTCCCTTAGGATGCCATTTTCTGAATGTGAGACACAAACCATCCGTTGAGGGTGTATTCATTATCTATTGCTGTGTAACAAATTACCCCAACACTTAATGGTTTAAAACAGTATTTTTTATTATTTTGGAAATGTAGGCATTAATGTTCCCCTCTATCCCACATTTTCTGGGTTGATTGTTCCCCCCAGAACTGGAGGAGTAGGTTCAGCCTGGGAGGGCTTTGAGGTTGTATTTTTCAACAATTTGAGCTGGAGTCTGGCTGCAACGTGATGAGGAGGAAGGTGGCTGGCTGATATTGGCACTGTGCAGTACTGAATGTACAGGTCTGCCCTTGCAAAAAAAAAAAAAAGCAGCCTCTAGCCAAGGGACAAGCCCAGGGGGTGAAGCATAAACTTATTTGTATTAAAATCATTAAACGGGAAAGACTACTGTGTCTCTCTCTCCATCTGTATCCTTCACTGAGTGTCGAGCATACAACATGACACTAGAAAGCAAGAGGATCCCTGCACTGTGGGACTTACAATGTCATCAGAAAGAAAAAAATATTTTGTATTCTTGCGTCCCTGGGGATGCCAGCATTTGGGGAGGATCAGGGTCTCCTTAGCCATCACACCCTCTGTGTTGTCAACCATCAAGAAATATTTATATTTACCTTATGCTCACCTTGTGTCTCTTAGCCCGCTGTCTAGGATTCCCTGCCAAGGACCTTAACTCGGTTATTTCTGGAAATCCCAGGGGCTGGTTCCTGTGTACATATGAACTCCGTCCTTCTGGCTCCAGTATTCTGTTTACCCTCCTTCTCGGCTATAGCTTTCTGCTCTGATGTTCACAGCCAAGTTTGGAGGTCCTTGCCAAGGCCGCACTGGCTGGTATCTGCGGTGGGGCTACTGTCTCTCTCCAGCATTGCTGTGTTCCATGCTGACCCAAGGAGAATGCCCATCTCTGTTTGCATCTTATCTGCTCACCTATGCCCCAAGCGGGGCCACCCTGCCTCTCCGTAACTCATTGGGATTTTTAGGAAATAATCCTATTTTTTGTTTTGTTTTGTTTTCTTCTGTTTCAGCTTCTCCCCTCACAGGTTCTTATCTAAGCTCCAAGGCAGGTGTAAAGAGGCATACTGGGAAGCTTCTGAGCCGCGCACACAAGTTGCCTCTACTTTCCACCATTGTTCCACCTCCCCCACTGGAACAGTGCCTAACACTCTTCCCTTGGGATTCATTTTCTAAGTGTGGGGCACAAACCATTGTTTGAGAGTGTACTAGTTATCTATTGCTGTGCAACATGTTACCCCAACTGGCTTAAAACAGCACCAGTTAGTACCTCACAGTTTTTCTGTGTCAGCAGTCCAGGAAAGGTTTAACCGAGTCCTTTGGCTCTGGGTCTCTCAGATGGCTGGAGTCATCGTAAGGCTCGACGAGGAAGGACCTGCCTTCTGGCTCACTCATAGGGCTGTTGGCAGGATTCAGTTCCTTGTCAGCTCTTGTGCTGGGGGCCTCAGTGCCCTGGGAGCTGCTGGCTGGAGGCCCTCCTTGGTGCCTTGCCATGTGGGCCCCTCCAGAGAGTATCTCCCAACAAGGTCCTGGCTTCATCATAGTGAGTAAGTGAGAGAACAAGAGAGAACACACACAAGATAGAAGTCACAGTCTTTT